GCGGCCCCTGGCGGCCCGTTTTCACTCTGAGGAGGTTTCAGGGAGGCCTACTAGGCCCAAAATGGGGCAGGGGGAGGTGGTGTGCCCTCCCACCCCATTTTCGCTCCCAGGCTTCATGGAGGCCTACTAAGCCCAAAACGGGGCACGGGAAGGTGCAGGAGGCCAAGTAATGCCTGTCACACACCCTGGTCATGTCCACCAAGCCATGCCCACAGAACCGGTAGTAAAAAAATTGTAACTCCACCACTGTTGATAAGCATGTCCAACCTGCAAACTACACACACACACACACACACAGAGAGAGAGACAAAATTTTTATGCTCCCACCAATTCCATTTGAATAATACACAATCCTTCCTGCTTACCATGACAGTGTCATGACTGAGACAGAATAAATGGATTTATCCATAATTTAGAAATGCAATAAAAGCAAGCATCCTTACTAGAGGCATTTTTTTTCCTTTGATTTTCTCCTCCTTTTTCTTTTTAAATAAATCTTGCTACCGCTTTTCATTTTGCCCAAAGGTCTTAGCAGTTATTGCCTGACTCTGACCATAAAACCTTCATAGGAGTCAAAGAATTGCTATTATTTTATAGATTCAATTGAAGGTGACTCAAAGCCACTAAAAACACTGAACTTCGTGTACTATTTCCAACCTGACTTCAAAATGGTTGCAAGTCAGGAAGAATTCACATTGTGGTGTTGCCTAAGGGATCGATTTCTTAAATTGATGCTAAATTAATAATTTAGCCAATAGTCTTAACAGGGTTTTCCATTGTACTTATTATAAGCAATATCTTATGGATGTCAAACTTAAGCCAGCAAGTATTAGAGAGAATTCTTGAACTCGTATGGATATACTATGGATATATCCTATGGATAGACAGTTAGAACAATTCATTAATCAGTGGAACAACTTGCCTCCAGAAGTTGTAAATGCTCCAACACTGGAAGTTTTTAAGAAGATGTTGGATAACCATTTGTCTGAAGTGGTGTAGGGTTTCCTGCCTAAGCAGGGGATTGGACTAGAAGACCTCCAAGGTCCCTTCCAACTCTGTCCTTCTATTCTATACTACTTGTTTTTCAAGTGCTGGAAATGGAATGGCAAAGACAATTGGTCAAAGCAAACCACAAGCTTATGGGGAATTTCATGTAGGAGATGTCCAGGCTGAGCTCAAGGGAGGGGTCAAATGCATCATTAAATCCCTTCGTGCCCAGAAGAGATCTAAGACCAGCCCATCATGAATTCCTTATCTACCACCAAATTGCTTTGACAGTTAATAGTTCAGATTCTTGTAGAAAGCTTAAATTTACAATAACACTTTATACCCATTTGAATTGCCCGGATCTGCTAATTTCCCTGGTGCTTGACACTTCAGGTGTTTATTATGCTTTAGTAATTATGATATTAGACTAGAATTTGTGAGACACAGAACCTCCTCAGCGTGCCTACCGTCCTTGTCCTAATATTCCTTTTCATACTTACTCTTTTCATGGATTCAAATTATGTTTATACTTTTACCTGTTATCTTATATATCCTTGTCAAATAAATAAATAAATAAATAAAATAAAATAAATAGTAGCTCACCAGGCAACTCTAGGCCTGTCGCTGTCTTTCAAGTTAGCCTCCTGTCAAATTTACCAAGTTTCTTGTTTTTTACCAAACAAGAAACATGGCTAGATAAGCTAGTCAGAGCTAGTGGTATTCAGCCGGTTCGGACCAGTTCAGGAGAGGGGGGGGGGGGGGGGGGGGGGGGGGGGGGCGCCCACCCGGGTGCAATCCTGTCCTATATCACTGTGTTTTTGATGCTGCACGCATGTGTGGATGGCACGTGTGACCGAATTGCCATGTTGTTTGATGTTGCACACATGTGTGGATGGCGCACGTGAGCAAATTGCCCTATTTTGTGATGCCGCATGCATGCACGGATGGCATGCGCTCACATTTCCAGTGCTGGGCGAACTGGTTGCTACAGTATGTGATTCCCACCTCTGAAGCTAGTTCTATTTTATTGCAAGAATACATTGACAGAACCTTAAAGGTAAAGGTTCCCCTCGCACATATGTGCTAGTTGTTCCTGACTCTAGGGGGTGGTGCTCATCTCCGTTTCAAAACCAGCGCTGTCCGAAGATGTCTCTGTGGTCATGTGGCAGGCATGACTAAACAGCAAAGGCACACGGAACACTGTTACCTTCCCACCAAAGGTGGTCCCTATTTTTCTACTTGCATTTTTATCTGCTTTCGAACCGCTAGGTTAGCAGAACCTGGGACAAGTAACGGGAGCTCATCCCATTACACGGCACTAGGGATTCAAACCACTGAATTGCTGACCTTTCGATCAACAAGCTCAGCATTTTAGCCACTGAGCCACCGCATCACCTGATAGAAACTTACAAGACTACAAGTATATTTTTCCTCCATCTTCTTTAAAACCAATAACTTGGGGAAGACTCTTTCTGAGCCTTTTACTCACCCACTATGCAGCTGTGGGCTATACTTGCCTTTTATCTGACTGATCCCTAGGCAGCATCTTTTTTCCCAGTCTCCCAAGGTGATTCCCATAACCTGTTACAACCAGTTACAGCACCCTAGTGGACAAAACCCAGAGGAAGGCCATGGTGTGCATGCTGTTGTTGGAAGAAATATCCATCTGGTTCAGTTCCAAGCTGGGAGAAAGGCACTGGAGACAAAATGGAGGTTAGAGGCTGGTTGGAAAGATGGTTTTAATGATGAAGCAGAACCTCATGGGTGGTTCTGGTGCAGCTGACCACATGGAGTTGGGAGTGTATGGGGGCTTATACCTTCTCTTGGGCTTTGCCCTTGAGCTTCCTGCTCCTGTGCAAGAACATGTATTCTATTGACTGTTGTCAGATTCCCATGGGGCCAATTAGGGGTCATAACTGGCTCTATAGGTTGTCTGAGTTAAGTTTGGTTGAAGCTTCTGAGGGTGATGCAATGCACTTAGGAGATTGTGCAGTGTAGTGATCTCTGTGTTTTAGTGGGTTAAATCCTATTATTTCCTGAAAGGTCATGTCTTAATCCCTTTACCCTGGAGCTGAAGGTCTCTTGTTTGATAGATAGGATGGCCCAGTCTTTCTTAACAGGCACAAAATATCTGCTGGGGGCAGGGAGCTGGAGGTCTGAGTTTCTGTCTTCCTTAAGATTTTTTTATTTCTCTTTTATTGGAAATATTTTATCCTGCCTTTTTAAAATATTCCTCAAAATATTTCATTCTTCTAGGAAGGGGGGTGTGTGTGGCTTCCGGCACTGTCTTGAATTTCTAGAAGAAAAGTGGAATGTAAATCTAATGAAATGACAAAGCTATGCAAAGCTTTGCTGGAAGATTCAGTTTGAAGGTGAGACAATCAACAGTAAACATCTCAATCTGTTGAGGCAGATCCACAAGGCAATGCTGCCCTGCTCCCTACTTCTGAAAGTGAACTGGTGACATTGCTTTGCATCACAGCCTCAAACTTACACTTCCAAGCATTGGGAAAGGATTCGACAGACATACCAAAGTTTCTTCTGTCTGTTGGAGGCACTAGTATGCTCTCTCTCTCTCTCTCTCTCTCTCTCTCTCTCTCTCTCTCTCTCTCTCTCTCTCTCTCTCTCTGTGTGTGTGTGTGTGTGTGTGTGTGTATGAGTGTGTTTGTGTAAGTGCATGTGTGAGAATTCCTGAGAATGGGGATCTGAGCTGGGCAAGAATTAGTGGAACAGATTTCATAACTACAGTAGAGGGATGTCTATGGAGATTCTCAGTCATCCAAGTCATAATTGTCCCAAAGGTGCTTTTGCACATATCATTTGATTCTTCTTGTAGCAATAGCAATAGCACTTAGACTTATATACTACTTTACAATGCTTTCAATTTAGTTTGCTACCAGTTTGCTCGTGCGCTCGTGCGATGCTTCTGCGCATACACAGAAGCGTCTGAGCGGGTGGACGGAGCCTCCCGCTGCCACTGATACCGGTTTGCCCGATCCAGAGCAAACCGGTAGCAACCCACCACTGTTTCCAGTCCTTTCTAAGCAGTTTACAGAGCATATTGCACTCAACAATCTGGGTCCTTATTTTATCAACCTCGGAAGGATGGAAGGCTGAGTTAACCTTGAGCCTGGTGAGATTTGAACTGCCAAATTGCAGGCAGACGGCAGTCAGCAGAAGTAGCCTGCAGTACTGCACTCTAACCACTGCACCACCGTGGCTCATTCTTCGTGTAGGATGTAGCTGGCTAATTGCTAGGTTTTGCCTATTCCTATTTCCTGTAAATACATTTTCTTTCTATTGCAGTTGTCCCAAAGCTGCTTTTCCAAAAGGCAACTGGACTTTCTTTGTTTTTCGTTGAAGACTTTCCTTTGTTTTTTCCTTTTTGCTTATCATCCAAGAACCTTCTTCATTTCTGACGTCTTGGATGAGCTTCTTGGATGAGAAGTGAAACATCTTCAAGGAAAAACAAAGAAAGTCCAGTTGCCTTTGGAAAAGCACTACATCCTACAAGAAGAGTCAAAGAATATGTGCTCTAGGCATATTGGCCCATATGTGACATCAGATTAACAACATTTTAGAGTAAATTGAATGATTGTCAAAGAGAAGCTACAGAAGAAATCTTAACTTTTTAGATCTACCCCATTCCTTCAAAATCAAAAGGTGCTGAAGAATCCGTGCCATTGAATTCACACCACCAACACTACCAAGTCAGTGATAAATAGCTCACTGAAGCAAGTTATATCGGCTTTTTACTGCAACACTTCAAACCAAGCAGCTTCTCACAGATGAACAACACAAATACTTCCTCTAATAATATCTAAATGGGTCAAACCAAATGGGAACAGGAACAGAAAGATATTTTCTGGGGGAAAAAAACCCTTTACAGGCAGCCAATCTAGGACTCTAAATAAAGCACCCCTTTTTAAAATGTGTCAACTTTGTATGGTTATCAAAATCACGAATCAACAGGGAAAAATACAATATATGCCTTAAATACACATCTGACATACCTCATAATAAAGAAGTTAGACCTGACAGGTTGAAGGTTTGCTTCAAATCTCAGTCGCAGTCTTCCTTTAAAAGTGCTTCGTTCTAGGACAGTGATTGACAGGGCATCAATCTTCCAAAGTGATTGACTGGCAACAACTTTCCAGCATGTTGTCTGGCATACATTTTACCTAGTCTGTTTTCCCTGAACGAGCCCCAAACTTTCAGCCCCCAAACAAGACATTCCTATTCTTGGTTGATGTTCTTAAACTCCCCAGCTTACAATGTCACACTGTTAGCCGCTGTGCTAACTAAGCACAAAGCTTTGCTGGGTTTTTTTTTTGTGTGTGTGGCTTTTTTTTTTTGGCTTCTGCTTTGCCTTTTCTCACTCCTGGGCACTCAGGCAATAAATGTGCCTGGTTTTGTTTAAACGCATAGTGCAAATGTGCATACCCTCTCTTGCCAGCTGTGCATTCATTACCAAGACTGTTAATTGGCCACAACTCAGCACAATGTTTTCTCTCTTCCCTGGTTGATTTTCAGGTCTTTTTAAGCTTTGCTCCTTCCAACACAGTGGTAGGGCCAGAGCAGCTTCTGCCCCCAGCACTTCCCTTTTCAAAATTCACCCACTGGGTTAGAATATTCTTCGCTTCCAGGTTATATTTCTTCAAACCGATCCTCGGAGCTTCAATAGATGTTGCCTCTGGGTTGTTCTCCTTTCAGTTCCAATGCCAAGATCCAGTCTCTGCTCCCCTTCGGGTTACTGCTTTGAGATTCAATCCTGATGATTAAAACACCATCGGGTTTTTATATGACATTTCCTGTGATAGAGCTTATCCATTTCTATTTATGAAATCAAGCCCAAGAATGTTTCGCCATTGTCTTTATTAATATTCACTGTCTTGTTAAATTGGAAAAAAAAAAGAGAATCTTGAGGACTTGAAAGACTGGCTACTTGATTAAGCTATGGCTTGCCTTCAGAAGTTGTGGGTGCTCCCTCACTGAAGGCTTTTTAGAAGACACTGGACAATGGTATAAGGTAGGGATGGCAAACCTATGGCATGCGTGCCAAAAGTGGCATGCAGAGCCATTTCTCCGAACACACGAGCCGTTGCCTGTTGTTCTTCCAGGTTCCTGTGCACTGGCCAGTTGGTCTTTGTGCGCACATGCATGCCAGAAACTGGAAAACCAGGTGGCCAATGCGAATGCACACACTAGAAACTGGAAAATCATCTTTCCAGTGCATGCATGCGCACTGGGCGGCTGCTCTTCCGATTTCCGGTGTGCATGTGGCTGCTCTTCATGCATGCATGCATGCCAGAAACAGGAAGACCAGGTGACCAGTGCGTATTCATGTGCTGGAAACCGGAAGATCATCTTCCTGGTGCGCGCATGCGTACTGGGAGACTGCTCTTCCGGTTTCCGGGACGCGCGCACGTGCTCCCATTTCAGCACTCCGTGCCGAAAAGGTTCACCAACTCTGGTATAGAGTCTCCTACTTGAGCAGGAAGTTGAACTTGAAGACCTCCAAGGTCCCTGGCAACTCTGTTATTCTGATTACTGCTTAAGTTTATGTGGCTCATAGCCCACTGTCTTGTTTGTTTGTTTGTTTGTTTGTTCATTCGTTCATTCGTTCATTCGTTCATTCGTTCATTCGTTCATTCGTTCATTCGTTCATTCGTTCATTCGTTCATTCGTTCATTCGGTTCATTCGTTCATTCGTTCATTCGTTCATTCGTTCATTCGTTCATTCGTTCATTTATCAACAAGTACAAGGAAACAAGTAACAGTATAGACATAGACATGGACACATGAAAAAAATTTGACACAAATAAAAGGAAATAATTAAGCAAAACAGCCATAAACACATAGAATAATTACATATAAATGGGGACAGTAGGACACAGATGGTAGGCACGCTGGTGCGCTTATGCACACCCCCTTAGGGACCTCTTAAAAAACATGAAAGGTCCACGGTAGACAGTTTAAGGTAAAAGATCTGGAGATTAGTGAGACTAACAACAGGATCAGGTAGAGCGTTCCAGACATTTACTACTCTATTGCAGAAATCATATTTCCTACAATCAAGATTAGAGCAAATTACATTAGGTTTGAGTCTATTGATTGCCCTTGTGTTATTGTGGTTGAAATTAAAGTACTCATTCTCCACTTTAAATATCATATCCAGCTTCTGGGCACCATATTTAAAAAGAGTAAAGAAAATTTCAAACAGGTTTATGGAAAGTAGCAAAGGGTGGTGAAGGAAATTTTTTGAGTTTGAGAAAAAAAAGTTTGAAGGAACTGAGTAAGGTGACTGAAGGGAGATATGATAACAATCTTCAAATCCTTCAAAGCTGAATGAAGGCAGATTCTAATTGACTGCTGAGGGGAAAAACTTAACTATGAGAGCAGTTTGACAGCGAAACCAATTAGTCAGGGAAGAAGCGCTTTTTCACTGGATATGTTCAAATAAAGGCACCAAGGAGGAGGCTGAATGTGATGATCTGAGTGGCCTCTTCCAGCTCAATGATATTTAGAATAATATTGCCCAGGCAAAGATTCTACCTGACAAAAGCTTTATAGCAGGGACACTTTTTACCTACAAATATTCTTATTATTTCCACTGGTGGTTATTTCAATCAATTTTATTTTATTTTTCAACAATTTAACATTGAAAGGGTCTATTCTGGCCAGAGATAGGGCACTTTTTTTGAGGCATAATCATATTTGGAACTTTGGGTACAAGTGGTAATTCCATGCACAAAATGGCTGCCATTATAAACATGCCTCAAAGCACTCATACTAAAATGGAGATTAGCCCCCATAGATGCACCCAATCAATCATGGAGGGGCCTTTATGGAACCAAATGCACTCCTTCAAATAGATACGATGCTAGAAGTTGGTGCTTTCCTTTGGACACTGCAGTTTCCTATTTATTCATTTTTTTAATTAAAAGAATATTATTAAAAAGCCAATTGGGGAAGAGATCCTTATCATGTATAACTGTCTATACATGTAGTTCTCAAATTACAACAATTGGAATCAGAATGAGTTACACCTAATTTTACGATGCCATGATTGTTAAGCAAATCACTGCGGTTGTTAAGTGAATCATGTAGTCATTAAGCAAGTCTAGCTTTCCCCATTGACATTGCTTGCCAGAAGTCCACTGGGAAGGTTGCAAATGGTGATGACATGAACCTGGGACACTGCAATTGTCATAAATACATGCCAGTTGCCTAGCGTCTGAATTTTGATCATGTGACCATGGGATGCTGCAACAGTCATAAGTGTGTAAATCACTTTTTTCAGGGCTGTTGTATCTTCAAATGGTCATCAAATGAATTCCTGTAAGTTAAAGATGATCTCTAGTTGCTTATCTTTGGGTTTACGTTATTCTGCTCAATTTTCTTCTGAGTCCAAGAACTCACAATGAACATCACTGACAAATGTTTCTCCTCTCCCTACTTCAGGGGTGTCAAACTCAATTTCATTGAGAGCCACATCAGGATTGTGTTTGACCTCAGGGGGCTGGGGTGGATATGGCCGGGGTGGGCATGGCCCACTCAATGTCACTTGTGTCGGGGGCACCTGTAGTGGTCCAAGCGCTCTGCCAGTGAAAATGGGCTCCCGAGTTCTACTTTTACCTGTGATGGCCTCCTGCAACCCTCTGCCAGTGAAAACAGAGCTCAGGAGGGCCACCAAGCTCCATTTTCACTGGCAGGAGCACCATGGGCCGGTCCTTCACTGGTTCCAGAGAGGCCCCACGAGACAGATCCAGGGGTGGTATTCACTTACTTTCCCTACCGGTTCGCAGATGTGAGCATGAACAGCTTCCGCACATGTACCTGGCCTCAAAAACGTGCCTAAATAGGATGGTATAGAGCTGGGGCAGGCCCACATGCGATTTCTGCTACCGGTTCAAGTGAACCGGTCTGAACCAGTTGAGTACCATCTCTGGCCAGATCTAAGCACCCCACGGGCCAGATCTGGCCCCCTGGCCTTGAGTTTGACACCCCTGCCCTACTTGAACAGATCCTGGGAATGAAAGCTGTCCACTTTCCACAAAAACTGGTTCCACTGCTGAATTCTCCTTCTCCTTGGAATATTTCTCCTAACATTTAACCAGAATCTGCCATCCCTATAATTTAAGATAATTATTCCATGTTCTGTATTCTAGGGAGGTAGAGAACAGGTCATGACTTTCGGATATTGTACCACCCCTCCCAATATTAATTAGATTCCCTCCTCTAGTTTCATGCAACTTGTTTTATATAGTTTTTAAAACAGAAACTGGAAAACTGCAAAGCGCCTTTATTCATACATATGATTCTGATCTCCACAGACATTCCTCCTATGGGAAATGCTTCTTAAAGGCAGCCTCATAAAATAAATATATTTGATGGGTGTGATCCAATGTTTTATTTGACAGCATGTCCATATATCTGGAGTAAGACAAAGGCAAGTTAGGATGACAAACCACATCCTTGAGAACCACAGGAATGATAGCGAGCAACTTCATCACTTTGCCATCCCGTCAATCAGTCTTTTGTGACTGTCTTGATCCACTATGACAACTTCATTTTCTAAATGGAGAGCAGCAAAGGGACGCTGCAGTTCAATGAAGTTTCAGTCAAAGCACTTGCTCAAAGAGCTTTGATGAACTAACAGATTAACAGAATTGGAAGGCACCTTGTAGGTCATCTAGTCCAACCCCCCACCCAAGCAGGAGACCCTACACCATTTCTGACAAATGGCAGTCCAATCTCTTCTTGAAAGTCTCAAGGGATGAAGCTCCCACAACTTCTGAAGGCAACTTCTGTTCCACTGGTTGATTGTTCTGTCAGAAAGTTCCTCCTTATTTCTAGGGTGAATCTCTCCTTGTTCAGTTTCTATCCATTATTCCTTGTCTGGCCTTCAGGTACTTTGAAAAATAGCTTGACCCACCCTCCTCTCTGTGGCAGCCCCCCAAATATTGGAACACTGCTATCATGTCTCCCCTGGTCCTTCTCTTCACTAGACTAGCCATGTCCAGTTCCTGCAACCATTCATCGTACGTTTTAGCCTCCAGCCCTAATCACCTTGGTTGCTCTTCTCTGAATTCTTTCTACAGTCTCAACATCTTTTTTATAGTGTGGTGTCCAAAACTGGATGCAGTACTCTAGGTGTGATC